TGTTGGAATTAACCCTCCCTCGAAGCTCCCTCTTCATAGGCCTCTAGAAGGGTTCATTTCCATTGAGGGAACTGCCTCGTTGGAAGACAACAGTTAGAATATCCTGCAGTGTGCCAACACATTGTTCTCGGGATTTCAACTGCTGCGTCTTGACGACCCAGAATCGTGCCAGAACGCCATCTTTGATCACAGCGAATCAACACAACTGTTGCGCCCGCATCATCCAAAACCCTTCCAAGACACGATGTCTGGTACGTTGATTATGGAATTCCGTGAAGGTTTTGCATATTTTTAAGACGAGTGTGCGCGGCGCTGCGGCGAGAGCCACATTTTGAAAAGGAACCGCCCTCAATCCGTGAAGCTCTTGCAATGTTTAAAACGAATGTGCGCGGCGCTAAGGCGAGAGCCACATTTTGAAAACCACGCGCCCTCAATCCGTGAAACTCTTGCAAATGTTTATAGAAGAGTGTGCGCGGCGCTGATGCGAGAGCCACATCTTGACAGCCACCCGCCCTCAATCCGTGAAACTCTTGCAATTTGTTAAAGCGAATGTGCGCGGCGCTCAGGCGAGAGCCACATTTTGAAAGCGACCCGCCCTCAATCCGTGAAGCTCTTGCAATTTTTTTAAAGCGAATGGGTGCGGCGCTAGGGCGAGAGCCACATTTTGAAAAGGAACTGCCCTCAATCCGTGAAGCTCTTGCAACATTTTAAAGAGAATGTGCGCGACGCTCATGCGAGAACCAAATTTTGAAAGCGACCCGCCCTCCATCAGTGAAGCTGTTGTTAGTTTTTGGTGAGGGAGTCGGCGAAACGCCCGGCCCGCCCTAAAAACTGGCCTCGGGGTGCGACAGGGAGGAGTTATCTATAAGGAGAAGGAGCGGAGGAGGAGGAGGAGGAGGAGGAGGAGGAGGAGGAGGAGGAGGAGGAGGAGCAGGAGCGGAGGAGGAGGAGGAGGAGGAGGAGGAGGAGGAGGAGGAGGAGGAGGAGGAGCAGGAGCAGGAGCAGGAACAGGTGGAGCAAGAGGAGCAGGAAGAGCACGAGGAGCAGGAGGAACAGGAGGAACAGTAGGAGCAGGAGGAGCAGGACGAACAGAAAGAGCAGGAGGAGCAGGAGCAGCAGGAGCAGCAGGAGCAGCAGGAACAGCATGAGGAGGATGAGGAGGAGGAGGAAGAGGAGGAGGAGGAGGAGAAAAAGGAGGAAGAGGAAGAGGAGGAGGAGGAGGAGGAGGAGGAGGAGGAGGAGGAGGAGAAGGAAGAGGAACGAGGAGGAACGAAGAGGAGTAGCAGGAGGATTAACGGGGAGTGGGGGAGGGAGAGGGGGAAGGGGAGGATGGGGAGGAGGAATGGGGGGGGGAGCAGTTGCTGCCACGCCCCACCTCCAGCGCCATTGCCTCACCCCTCTCTGCCCGCGGGCGGCCTGCCTGGGCGTCGTTCCCCCCCCGTCGGTCTACTCGTTTCGTTTTTCCCCCCTTGCCTGTCCCCTCACGGCTTCCCACCCCTGTCGATCCCCTGTAGTCGGATCCAGCTCTCGTTGCGTTGGCTGGGCCCGTTTGCGCGTCTGCTCCGCCGCGGGCGTGGCCGCGGCGCCATCAAGGGCGGGCGCGGGACCAAAACGGGAGGAGGGAACGGAAGTGCTGGGGTGGGGCACGCCTTCTCTCTCTCTCCGTCTTCCTGTCTTGCTCCTTCCCTTCCCCTTCCCCCCGAGTCTGCTTGAGCGCGTGTTAGGCTTGCCTTTCCCGTTCGCAGACCTCGGATAGCAGTGTGTGTGTGTGTGTGGGTTGCGACCTTAATTTGCATACAGCGTGTCCCCTGTTACCATTCCGCCGGAGCAGTCGACCTCTGCCCAGCCGCCGACGCAAAGTGTGTGTGTGTGTGTGTGTGTGTGCGGGGGGGAGGTGGCAGGTGTCAGGGGCCACGTGAGGGGGGGAGATGCTCAGGGGGAACGCGTCGGCCCCCAGTCGCCCATTCCTTGCCGAGGGGGGCCGCCGGGTTGCCCACCCGGCCCAGGCACGCGCGGCGACGCAATGGGGGGTCTATCGCTGAACAGTCTGTGACGCATCGCCGATTTCACCTCGGCGTTTCCCGCCTTGAGGCGACCCCATGACGTTCGCCCTCAGGAAGGGGACAGGAGGAGGTGGAAGGGGGAATACTTTCGCAAGCCGAAACATTTTCCTCTTGAGCCCCACGTGTCGGATGCGACGCGCCGATCCCCTCTGTTCTCCTCCCACCTCCTCTTGCCTCTTCCCTCATCCTTCCCCTCTTCATCCTGGGAAAGCCCCCTCCCCCGTAGAATCTTAGCATGGGTCTGCAGATCCACAGCTCCGTGGATAGCATGATGCTTCACTTGCGGTGCTCCGCGGATCCCATTTCCCCTGGGTCCCGGATGTTAATTCTTAGTATATATCTATTCCCAGGAAATAAATGGATCAATCGTTTTTTGCACACAGGAAATTGGATCCGCGCAACACAGAAATAGGAGCCACGACACTTTCCCGCACCCGGAAAGGGATCCAATTGGATCCATTGCGGTTTTCACGTTTTGCGAAACTTTGTGTTTGAATACGGTGACCTAAGAGCCTTACTTAGTGACCCATGGGATGTTTGTCAAGGAATGGCCTGTCATCTCTTCGTCGGCTTGCCTAGCTACCCGCGTTCTAAGGGGATAGCTATGGTCTTGGTATACTGAACCCACCACTGTCTGCCCAAGGCGTAGTGAAGCGACCAACTCCTCGCGGCGAACTTCCACTGCCGCTTATCAGGATTTTAGCAACCCTGCTCAAGATCGGACAGCTGCTGCGTTGGATTGGAGTGATCAGTCGGGGGGATGATCGGCAAGGCAGTGGGCGAACTCCAAGGAAATCATTTCAGAGCGCTTGGGAACGCGAGAAATCGAAGTGTCGGTGTGCGAGCTAGGCGCTCGGGCCTGTGTGAGACAACGCTTTGTATTTAGGTCAAGAGGTACCGAGTCCAGTGCGTGGGCGGAACTTGTCATTCGTAGGATCCGGCGGTTCCCCTTCCACAGAAATTGACGAACCATTATTTCTTTTTGGTGGACGGAAGGTTGGACATTGAAGGCGCCATGTATGGTCGTGGCTCATCCGTCGATATCGTTTTCTAGGGCCCCCAGTGTGTTCAGATTGACGGAGATGCTATCCCGTAGCGTCCCATGTTTGCGGGCGCGTCGGTTATCCTTATCTTCGTCGCCGTCTTCCTCCCTGCCCCTGTCCTCGCCATCCTCGTCCTCTTGGGGGCTTGGGGTCGGGCCGTTTTTTTTTCCTGCCGTTCTGTTGTGTTGTGTCCTCGTTTGGAATCCGCGGCGCCCCGCGTCCTCCCTTTTTGCTGCTCCTCCTCCTCCCGTCCCTGGCACTGCCCTACGCTTCGTGGCCCATAGGAAGCCCCACCGAAGGCCTAGTGTGGCAGGGCTCGCATGGCGGCGCCGCGCCCATGTCGGCACCCCCCTCATATATGTTCGTCGCTCCACAGGGAGCTTCACCGAAGGCCCAAATGGCAGGGTTCGCCTGTCAGAAGTGCTTTGAGTTCGGCACACTTCTCACACGTTTCGTGGCCCTAGCTCCACCGAAGGCCCCACTGGTAAAGTGCGCATGGCGGCAGCGCCGCATTTCGGCGCACCTCTTGCGCGTTTTGTGGCCCCACGGGGAGCTTCCAGTGGCAAAGTCCGCACGCCGCCATATCGCCATTTTGGCACATCCCTCGCACGATTCGTTCCCATCCTTCGTATTACTTGCCTTGCGTTGCTCGTGACCTCATATGGTTCCTCCCTTCGCCAGGATGATTGTTTTGATCTTGGGGCTCGCCGGCTCTGACGGCTCGCCCGTTCCTCGGTCATTTCGCTCCATCTTCGTCCTTCATTTTTCGTTTCATTTCTTGATTTCTTCTCTTTATCATCGTCCCTCCTCTCGTTCTGCTTCTAGTAAGGGAGGAAAAACCACCTGGACCGGATAATCAGCGTTTACTAAACGGCCCTGGGCGTTTACTAAACAGCCCTGCCCCGTTCGATTGTTTCTTTGGGCGTGTTTACTGAACGGCTTCGAGGGTCGGGGTGATTGTTCTGGGGGTGGATTTTTTGAACTCTCTTCTGCGCATCGTTTTTATTTCCGTCCTTCGACGGCGTGCCCATGGGGGAAGGCGCAGGGGGCGGGCCCTCGAGGAAGATTCAGAAGGCGCCCGGCCTTTGAGACACCTCCCGAGCCTTCTCTGAGGCCGCGGGGGGCTTCCGCGGAGGCCGGAGGGCTCCCGGGGAGCCCCGCTGCTCTCGGAGCAAGGCCATCTCATGGCGCCAACATCGCAGAGCGGATTTCCCTCGGAAAACGATGGGATGGGCCGGGATTGTCCTGGTCCTGGAGAATTTCGTTCCGGATTTCGAAGAAGTGAATTTCGTGCGGATTGTTTTGGCCAGGAATGAAGACTGAACAAACGTCTACGCGACATTCACTACGTTTTTCGCTCGCCGTTTCGGGGTTCTGCAATGGCAGAAGTCCACGCAAAAATCCGCTGCAGCACGTCTGCAAGGTCGGTGCAATGACCCATCGACGCGCCGCCGAGAGGAGCGTTGGTTCTCGAGTCAGAGCTCGGGTCTCCGACGGCCGTTCGGGACGATCTGGGCCCCCATAGGATGCCTTCGGCGAGGCGTAGCTGCTGGAAAGCACCCCGAGGCTGGAAAACCTCCAGGAACGGACGAAAACGTCAGAAAACGTTGAGCTTTCCCTCCTTGGCGCGCCGCTGATCTTCTCCTTGAGTTTCCTCCTCCTCCTCCTCCTCCTCCGCCTCGCCATCCCCTTTCGGAGGTTCTTGGATTCGGCCAGGGGCATTCCTCTGCAGGGCGATTCTGAAAGTCGCCTCGTCTCACTGCGAACGCAGATCCAGAGTCTACAGCTGCTGAAGGGTCGCTTTTTTTGTTGCCGCGCTAGCAGGGATGGACAGGCAGTTGATTGCAAGCGGTCGTATCGTATCATGTCGTATCGCCCTCCGTTTCTTCGGGAGCCCTGTGCAGGTGGACCCGCCGCCGGGGAGAGCAAGGAGACCGCGCCGCGCCGCCGGCTGGTCGTTTATACCGCATGCGTCAGGGGGGAGGCACCATGAGGAGGAGGAGGAGGAGGAGGAGGAGGAGGACTAGTGTGAACCCAAAACGCATGAATGATGCTTCAGTAAAACCTCCTTTCAAGCTCCCTCCTCGTAGGCCCCTACATGATTTTAATTCGAGACGCCTCGCGTCATCCCACCAGCCCATCCAGAAGCGATGCCCAGGCGAGTTGCTCTGATCGGGGATGTGGAGGAGCATGCAGTGGAATAACGGGCTGGGGCGGCCGTCATACCCCGAGAGGGGGAGGAGCCGGAGGAGGAGCTGGAGGAGGAAGAGGGGGAGGAGGAGGATGAGGCGGCGGAGGAGGGGAAGGAGGAGGGGGAAAAGGTAGGAGGGAAAAGGAGGAACAGGCGGGGAAGAGGGCGAGCAGAATGGCCAGAGGGCTCTTGGATGCCTCTCGGAGTGTCGTCAGATGTCATTCGGGAGTTTCTTGGAGTCCTCTTGGGGCGTGTTGGGGTCCTCCTGGCGGTCCGTCCTGTGGGCCTCTTGGAGCCTGTTGGGGGTTCTTGGGAGCCTCTCGGGAACCTCCTGGGGGCCTCTAGGGGCATCCTGGGCGCCTCATTCTTGGGAGCCTTGTGGGCCATCTTGGGGCCGTCTTGGAGAAGATTGATCAAAGAGGCTGGGGGGCTTCATTCGCTCCCATCCCCCAGGAGGCCAACATGTGACCCAAACCGTTGTAAAATCATTGATTTTCGCCTTCTCGCTGGGGCCGTTTTGGATCGCGAGCCCCTCCCCTCCCCCCTCCAGGTCCAGGGGGAAGGGTTCCCAGGAGGGGTGAACCCATCCCCCAAGGGGAAGAAGGGGGTTGGAAGAAGAAACGCTCTAAAACAATCATGCCCTAAAGGGCTGGTGGGATCTCAATGCGGGAAGTGCGCCCTTGGAAGACAACTGTGTGAACACCTTCAATCGTGCCAAATCGCAGTTCTTGGGATTTCAGCGCCGGGGATCAACGTGACTATTGCGTGTTGATGACCCTATATATCGCACCAGAACGCCGTTCCTGTGACCTCAGCGCCGCGAGTTCACGTGACTGCTGCGGCCTGAGATTTTTCAATCTTGCCAGAGCACAAGTCCTGGGACTTCAACCATACGAATCATTGAAAACGGTTGCAGCCTGTTAAGACGGAGGTGCGCGGCGCTAGCCCGAGAGCCACACACAAACATATATACGTACATATATATATATATATATATATATACACACACATATAACGGCGCACCGGGTCCGGGGGCCCGGGGCCGGGACCTCGACCACAAATGTGCGCCCCGGGGGGCCCGGAGGCTCGTCGGGGCTTGCCGGAGGCCTCCCCAGTCAGACAAGACGGCCCAAGAAGCGCCCAAGACGGCCCAAGAAACTTCCAAGAGGCCTCCAAGAGGGCTCCGAGATGCTGAAGATGGCCTCCAGACGTCCAAGGACGCCCCCAAGAGGCCCCAAGAAGCCTCCAACATGCGTCCCAAGAGGGCCCCTAGACGCAAAAATTGGCCCATTCCCTTCGTAAAACGTACATTTTCAACAAAGTTGTCTTTTTGGCTTTCCGACGTTACAGGACGGCCCAAGAGGCGCCCAAGACCGCCCCAAGACGGCCCAAGAAGCTTCCCAGAGGGCCCCAGGACAGCCCAAGAGGGCCCCAAGACGGCCCAAGAGGCGCCCAAGATGGCCCAAGAGGGCCCCAAGACGGGCCCAAGAGGGGGCCCAGAGGGGGACCACGAACCGCAAGCTCGAGCCTTCCGCCCCAAGAGGCCGCCAGGAGGCCCCCAGGAGGCCCCTCAAGAGGCCCCAGGAGACCCCAGACGTCCAAGGACGCCCCCAAGAGGCTCCAAGAAGCCTCCAACATGCGTCCCAAGAGGGCCCCTAGACGCAAAAATTTGCCCATTCCCTTCGTAAAACGTACATTTTCAACAAAGTCGCCTTTTGGGCTTTCCGACGTTACAGGACGGCCCAAGAGGCGCCCAAGACCGCCCCAAGACGGCCCAAGAAGCTTCCAAGAGGGCCCCAGGACAGCCCAAGAGGGCCCCAAGACGGCCCAAGAGGCGCCCAAGATGGCCCAAGAGGGCCCCAAGACGGGCCCAAGAGGGGGCCCAGAGGGGGACCACGAACCGCAAGCTCGAGCCTTCCGCCCCAAGAGGCCGCCAGGAGGCCCCCAGGAGGCCCCTCAAGAGGCCCCAGGAGACCCCAGACGTCCAAGGACGCCCCCAAGAGGCCCCAAGAAGCCTCCAACATGCGTCCCAAGAGGGCCCCTAGACGCAAAAATTGGCCCATTCCCTTGGTAAAACGTACATTTTCAACAAAGTTGTCTTTTGGGTTTTCCGACGTTACAGGACGGCCCAAGAGGCGCCCAAGACCGCCCCAAGACGGCCCAAGAAGCTTCCAAGAGGGCCCCAGGACCGGCCGGGACGGGGGTCATTTTCCCTGTGTTTTTACAGGGTTTCCGCGTCCTGGGCCTCGGAGGCCGCCGCCTCCAACCCCCCATGGGAGGACGGGGCGGCTGGGGAGGTCCAAAATAGTCCAGGAGGGCATCCAGAGGCTCCCAAGACGGCCCAAGCGGGCCCCGAGTCGCCGAAAGACCGCTCCAGGACGCCCAAGATAGGCTCAAGACGGCCCGAGAAGCCCCCCAAGGCACTCCACGACGCTTCAAGACGCCTCTCCAGAGCGCTTCAAGAGGCCGAAATCGTTTATTTTACGGAGGTTTTGGACACATGTTGCTTTTCCCGCCAAGAGGGGCTCAAGACGGCTCTGGAGGGCCCCAAGACGGCCCCAAACGCGCTCAAGACGGGCGAAGAGAGCCCCAAGACGGCCCAAGCGGGCCCCGAGTCGCCGAAAGACCGCTCCAGGACGCCCAAGATAGGCTCAAGACGGCCCGAGAGGCCCCCCAAGGCACTCCACGACGCTTCAAGACGCCTCTCCAGAGCGCTTCCAGAGGCCGAAATCGTCGATTTTACGAAGGTTTTCGAACGATTTTGGCCTTCCAGCCTTTTCGGCTGTCCGACGTTCCAAGACGGCTCAATAGGCCCCCAGGAGCGCCCCAAGACGGCCCAAGAGGGCCCCAAGAGGGCCCCAAGAGGGCCCCAGAGTCGCCCAAGACAGCCCAACAGAGCCCCAAGACAGCTCCAAAAGAGTGCCCCAGGAGGCCCCAAGGAGCCCCCAAGAGGCCCCAGGAGGCCCCCAAGAGGCACCCAGGAGGCCCAAACGAGGCCTAAAGAGGCCACAAAACAGCCCCGAGGAGGCCCCACAACGGTCCCAAAACGGCTACCGAGAAGCTGCGAAACTGCCTTCACGACGTCCCCGACAGGCCAACCACGAGATCCAAACCAACACCCATGAGGCCTCTGACCCACCACCCAGGGCACGGTGGCGGGAGCAGTGACAGCACTTGTGCACAGCATGTTCCGGCGGGAGCCTTCTGGAACACGCTGCAGGAGGAGGATGATCAGGAGGAGAGAGAGCTGGAGTGGGAGGAGGAGGAGGAGGAGGAGGAGGGCGACGAGGAGGAGGAAGAGGTCTCCAAGACAGCTCGAAGATAGCCGAAGAGGCTTACACGAGGGCCCTGGGCGGCCCACGAGGGCCCCAAGGCGGTGCCCGAGGCGCCCGAGAGGGCTCCAAGACGGCCCCAAGAGAGCCCCAAGAAGGGAAACACGAATCGAGAATCCGAGCTTTCTACCCCGAGAGGTTCTCGGGAAGACCCAAGATGCCCCCAATCGGATCCAAGAGGCCCCTGAGAAGCTCCCAAGAGGGCCGACGAGGTTCCAAGAGATCTCCCAAGGTGGCCCCAAGAGGCAGAACTCATTGTTTTACGATTGGGCTTTGACGGGTTCTACGCTGTTTTCTGCCTTCGGCATCCCGATGTCCAACACGGCCCAAGAGGCTTCCAATACCGCTCCCATATACAGGAAGAGGCCTCCAAGAGGGCCCCAAGACGGCCCGCGAGGGCTCCAAGACGGTGCTTGAGGCGCCCAAGACGGCCCCAGAGGGCCCCAAGAGCCCCAAGAGAGGCCCAAGAAGGGGAACGCGACCCAACAGCAGAGCGGTCCCCCCACAAGGCCCACAGGAGGCCGCAAGAGGCCCCCAAGTGGTCCGACGAGGACCCCAAAAGCTTCCCGAGGGCCTCAAAGGCTCGTAGGAGACGTCCAAGAGGCTTTAAAATAGCCCAAGAGTGCCCTCGATGCGTCAAAACTGCTTCCAGGCGTCCGTAGCCATTTTGGCTCAAGGCCCAAGGGATGGGCTCAAGGACGGGGGGGCGATGCCAGACCTCTGACTTCCAACCCACCTTCTGATTATCCAAAACTACCGCTGAACTTCGCAGAGACGAAGGTGCAAAAGACGTTGCCGTGGACCAGGTAATGTCGTGCACGCGCGCTTCTCTCGTCATTGTGACTTGTTTTATCCTTCTCGGTTTGATCGCACAGTTCGTCCAAATATGGCGGACGTTGAGTTCTAGGACGGACGGCCCACAGCTCCCTTGGATAGCGCAGCAACGCAATGGAACAATTGGAGGGCGAGATGATTGGCAACAAGCGTTCGCACACGCAGTCAGCGCAGATTGCAGGCTTGTGTTTTGGGAAGAGTTTCCTAAATTCGTGGTCGGAGACGCGTGGAGCTTGCAGCATCGTGACCGTCAAACGTTGCTGTTTCTAGCAATCATATGGTTGGCATCCGCTTGTGTAGGTCAGTACTGGTGTGGGAGGTATACGGGGATGGAGTCAAATTGTGGCGGGGACGATGTATTGGGGATGCATCGGAACTTCTTTACACGGATGTTGATGGGAGGCTCACCTCTGAAGGACTTAGATTTCACAATCTCAATATACTTCCTCATGCAGATTACACTGGATGGCATGGCAGGACAGAGTGAGATAGATGGCAATTTGACCCCCCTTGCCCATATTTTGGGGGCCAGCACCGTGCTGGCCAGTGCTTGGCGCAAGTATCTGCATCGCAAATTACGCTTCCTCGTCACGCCTCTCGTCGTGGCTACGGCGGGCGTGTTCATTCGAGATCAGAGCCACACGGGTCGCAACCTGAATTGTGACCATCGCACTCTGATTTGTTTATACGGGAACATAGGTCTTGCTTTGGGGACGCTTGCGGCACATGTGGTGGGTGCCGACATCGCTTCGAGTTGGGTGAGAACTTGGGGCATGACAGCTTGCGCTCTTATGTACATCAATGCGTTCATTGCAAAGTCTCTTAATCAACCAGGGTTGTTCGACTATTGGTCGGGGCGTGAGCTGGCACATTGGCTGCTACATCGAGTCAGAACTTCCAAATGGCCTTGCCTGAACGCCATGGCTGTTCAGTCGCAGGGCGTAATGAGAGCACTTGGGAGCCTGACGATGTTGTTCGAGGGTCCTTTCAGCATGTGGATACTTCTATTTGACATGGGCCCAAAGTGTGAGTCTCATTGGTGGTGGCGAGTTGTGACTGGAGGGCTTTCGCCGCTCAGAGCTCTGTGGGCGTGGGCCGCAATCGGATTTCACTTATCTATATATATAATGATGGCACCACGGTATAACTATCAAGTGTACACTTTGCTCATACTGGTTCTCGACTTCCCGCGGAGCATGCTGTGTATCAGCCAAGTCGATCCGTCAAGATCGATTGTAGCACGTGGACGTCTGTGTGTTTTCTTGTTGTGTACTCTTAGTTTGTTTACTGCTGCTCTTTGGGTCTTTGTGGGAATCCGCTACCACCTTCCAGAAGATGACCCGCTCTGGCCCGTCTCTTCAGTGCCCATGTACTCGAAGTCTGATTGCCCAGCAAATTGCCTCTGCACGAGGAAGTACACTGATTCTGAATGGCATGCTTACGCCCATGGCAAATGGATCTACGTTCTTAAGCAAGCAGCTTTGTCCGATGATGACCTGCAGATGGAGTCTGCAGTGCAGTTGCTTGGTGCCTTGGGGCGTATGTTGCCACGCTTCAAAGTACCTCGAGCTTCAGAGCATTTCAGCGAAGTCGTTGCAGTTCTGCTTCAGTGTGTCGTGAAGCGCCCTCACTCCGTGGGGGCGCTTGGGATCGTAGTGCTGAGGGATTTCGCAGCTACCCTTGGAGATTTCCAGCGCAGGGCAATGTGCCAGGCTTTCAGTGCTTGCCAGGACTGCGACATCGTCAACGCCAAGATTCAGGAATTGCGTGAGGTTTCGCGATGCGACCGGGTGGAGCGGCACCGTTGATGCCGGGGCTCTTGCGCCAAAGTGCCTTTCCTTGCTTTTCCCTCTTCTCTCCCTCCCCTCCCACCTCCTCCGCCGATTGGTGCGCGACGGCATTTCCAGTCGCGCGATCGGCTCTCTCGTCGGCCGCAGCTGTTGACGTGCCCCATGTCGCAGCACTAGTACTGACATCGGTGCAGGCCGATCAGAATCAGAGTTTGCGCGCATGCATTTGGTGGTCAGCTGGGCTTCGCGCCTTCCCTGTCGCATATAAGCACGATGGTAGGCAGTTGTTCAGACATGGCATTCGCATGCGCAATGGACCTTTGCGCGTTGCTTAATTCAACCAACCTTGCAAACGCACACCATTGTTTGCTCACGCGTGCAGTTCGCCCGCGATCATGTCTGCAAACAGACGAATGCACATTTCAATGGCGGGGCTTCAGCCTGCGCCTGAGGCCCATTCATTTCCAGGCCGGTCTGCGCGAGCCTGCAAAGTAACAAAAAAAAAAGAGGTGCCTCCAACAGCAAGTTGACGAAGCATGCGGAACACCCCAGAAGCTCCTCAGATGCCGTCGCGCGCCTGTGCTTGATAGCGTTGTCCAAGATCGTCCAGCGCCCCCCGGCCTGGGCTAAAACCACGCAGGCCCAGCAGGCTCCAAGAGGCCCAGGAGGGCGCCAAGAGGGCCCCAAGATGCCCAAGATAAGCCCAAGACGGCCACAGAGGCCCCCAAGACGCTCCAAGAGGCCTCCAAGAGGCCCCCCCAGAGGGCCCCAAGAGGCACACATTTTGCCTTTCCCGCCTTTTCAGCTGACCGACGCTCCACGACGGCTCAAAGGCCCCCCGCGGACGCCCCAAGACGGCCCAAGAGGCCTCCAAGAGGCCCTCAAGACGGCTCTGGAGGGCCCCAAGGCGGCCCAAGACGCGCCCAAGACGGGCAAAGATAGGCCCAAAACGGCCCCCAGAGGGCCCCAAGAGGGGAACCGCGAACCGGAAATTCGAGCCTCCCACCTCCACCGGGCCCCGGGAGGCCCCAAAGGGGCCCCAAGAGGCCCCAGGAGACCCCCGAGAGGCACCCAGGAGGCCCAAACGAGGCTTCAAGAGGCTCCCAAACAGCCCCCACGAGTTCCCCCTTGCGGGCCTCTCCAGCCCCTCCCGGGGACCATCTTGGGCCACCTTCTCCTCGGGGTTCATAGCCCCGAGCTGGCGAGAATGCGAGAACTGTTGAAAGATAAATCAGATATGGTTTTGTCACTTGAGGCTGTCCTGTGGGTTCCCTTGGGAACTAATTCTCCTCGTTCGCCCAGTCTTCCTCCTCACTCCATGGAACAAGACTCTCCTTGCGCTGGCTGGGGTCTTCCCGTCCAGGCACGGCTGGCGTTCCACTTCCTCCTCCTCCTCCGATCCTTTCTCACCAGAGCCGCATGCTGCAACATTGTCGACACGATTTGAGTCATCAGAATAATGAGGGTGCGGTTGTTGTAGTCCGCGTTTTGATGTAGTTGGTGAAGCTCTCGTTGAGCATGCAATGAGCCCGGCCAGGACGCCGAAACAAGGACCGCCTTGGGCACAGGAGCGGCTCTGGCTCGTCGTGCTACTGCCTAGCTCCAGGCCGGGGGACCTCTTTGTGGCCAAGACCCTCGCCGTGGCCGGAAGAGCCCTGCCGTTCTTTCGACAGCGGTCTTTCTGGCAGCGCGCTCCCGTGTGGGGCGAGCTCGCGTTCACAATCGGGGAAGTCCGCGCTAGAACCTAAGCGCGCGCGAAGCGCGCGCGCGTGGTTCTAGTACATTTATATATGCGTGTATGTATGCATATAGATACATATTTATATATGTGTTTATGTCTATGTATATGTACATATATATATATATATATATATATATATATTTATTCGCCGAGTGGTGCGCGAAGCGTAGCAAGTGAAACACGCAGGGAAGCTATACAGTGAAAGCGAAAGCAACAGGCATAGCGGGGCAGGTGCCGCCAATACAGCTGCTACAGACGAGCACGGCCAACGGTTGAGCCGTCAGCTCGGCGAGCCGGGCCTTTCGCCAAAGCATGGGAGTGCCCCGCGCGCTGGGCCTCGCGACGAAGCTCCTGATCCATTAAGCCGAGCTTCGCGACGACAAAATCCAGAAGCGGCGGGAAACGCTTGCGGTTTGCCCGAATTTCGTTCCAGCACTTGGGCCGGCGCGAATCGCACAAGTGAGACAGGAGACGGAGGCCGAACGAAGTGCCGCAAGCGAGGCACGTGGCACCAGCTGGCGCCCAAAATCGTTGCAGGCACTTTTGGCCATGCTTGATGCGCATATGCTGACTCAGCGCCTTCGCAGACGCGAAGCGGCTGTCACAAATCGCGCAGACATGCGGGCGAGTGCCGCCAGCCGTAGACGCTGGAGCGGCAGCGGCGGCATCGCAACACGAGTCAACGAAGTGAAGGGCGTTCACCGCGCCGGACCAACGCCCGGGAGAGGCCAAAATGAACTCAGTCCATATCGACGCGCCGGCTGTGGGGCAAGGGAGGTGCGAGCATGGTGCAACCAGCTCCCGTAGCTTCAACATGTCCGTGGTCAGCAGCTGTGCCCAAGGCAACGGTCGATCTTTGGGACGCGTGCTCAGCATCGCCAGCAGGGCCGACGGCTGCGACCGCAGCAAGCGGCCAAGATACCGCAGACGAGCGCGCATCATCAAGCAATCGACGCTCGCCCTCCCAAGACGATCGCGTACCGTGACATCGTGGACAGTGTGCCCAAAGCGAGGCGCCCCGGCGATCCTCCGGAGAACTCGCATGTACACGGCGTTGATGGTGAGAGTGAACCGTCGAGTCGGCACGAGGATGTGGACATTGTGCAACAACCGGCTCAGGATCAAGCTTTGCATCATCCAAAATTTGAGGTCGTCGGACACCACGGGGCTGCCGAAAAGCTTGGTTGCAAGCGGGGCGTAGCTCTTCATGGCCGCGACGCGAAGATGCTGAGCAGCAGGGCCGAGCGAGCCATTGGAGCACACGACGCCTCCGAGATGGGTGTACTTAGGGACGACATGCAAGAGCACGTTGCGACCAGGAACCGCTATCGCAAGGCCACCACCGCGCTGGACGCGTCGCTTCTCCAAGCACGAAGTGGCGCCAGTGCCGCGATATACCAAGAAGCATTCCGATTTGCCAGGCTTCCAATTGATCGTCAAGTTCATGCTCTTGTAAATATTGCAGACTGCCGTAAGTATTACGTCGATCGCGCTGTCGAAGTCGGCCGCGCGGGGGGCCGTCAGCATGAAGCACTCGTCGTCGACGAATGCGGCGTCGACCACTGGTATGGTGTCTTCGGCGTGGTCGGCGCCGCTCTCTGGCGGCGCCCAGAACGCATCGCGTCCTTTGGGCAGCCGCAGAATGATGCCAGCGTCGAGCAAGGCATCCCGGATCAAGACCATGGCCAGGGAGAACGTGCTGTTGAATACCATGGCGCCGTACTTGCAGCCCTGACGGCCGCCGACCAGCGTGGCGACGGCGGCGTCGCAATCGCCGTAAGAGAACCACGATGCCGCGTGCATGTTCTTGAGCAGCCGGATCACCTTCGGCGCCGCGCCCCACTGCTCGAACAGGCATCCATGGCGAGCAACCCAAGTAGCAATCCACTGGGCCTGATGATCGCTGAGACCAAGGTCTCGTAGATCTTGTTCTGGGTCTGTGGCGGCATGGGGCCAGCCCAGAACGATCTCGCGCACGACCCGGTCAAACGCCTTGACAAGGTCCACGAACCAGACGAAGCATGAGAGCCCCTTGGTGGTGCAGTAGTCGCAGAAAGACCGGGCGAGGTGTGCAGCGAGGTCGGTACCGCGGCCAGCAACAGCCCCATGCTGGGACTCAGGCATGTGGGCGTTGTACATGGGGGTCACGAGGCCACTGAGGAGCTGCTTGAAGCCTTTGGCCGCGTGGTCCTCGAGGACAATCCCGCGGGACTCGTCGCACTCCTCGCGCGGCCCCTTCTTCTTGTATACGTTCTGCATGCGCCCGCCTGTCCAGGAGGTTGGCCAGCGCTCGCCGTCGATGATGTCCTGGAAGATGGGCGCCAGGGGTTCGTTGACGGCGTCGCCGCCGGCCACCAGCAGCTCCGAGGGGACGCCATCGCGGCCCACCCCCTTGTTGCGCCCAAGCTGGAGGAGCGACGCGCCCACGGCATCGGGGAGGACGACGATGCCGCTGGCGAAGGGGTCCGGCGGAGGCGTCGGCTTGAGCTTCAGCTCGGCCATGGTGGCCGGCTTGCCATTGAAGACGTCCCGGAAATGTTCCTGCCAACGCCCCTGCCGCTCCGCCTCGGTGCTGGACAGAGCTCCAGACTTCAGGCGGACTGGATGCGTGGAGGAGCTGGCGCTCCGACCACTGAGCGCGCGCACGATGCCAAAGGTAGTGCGCCAATCCCGGCGAACGGCAGCCAGCTGCGCCTCCTGAGCCTTCGTCTCGAGGAAGAGCTGGCGGTCGAAGTGGATGAAGTGACGTACTAACGCTGTGAGCTGGCTGCAGAGGCGGGTGGTGGCGGCGTTCAGCAGGCGCCACTGCTGCCGGAGTGCTCGCAGGGAGGGGAGCACGCACTTGGCCGCCCAGCCCAATCGCGTGGGGGGAGCGTTAGTCAACGAGAACGTGGAGGGGCACAGGGCTGCCCAGCTCAGGAAGGCGAGGTGGCAATTCACCTTGAAGATCTCGGCACGAGCCCGGTACATCGTCCTGCGCGACGGGGCCAGGGTACGGAGCAGCCGCCATGTGTCTCCAGATATCCACGGCTGGCGGGGTTGATCTTGCGGCGGCCAAAGGCTTGCAGTGCCGAGGAGCGGACGTGGCCCATGAAGGTCGTGGTCTCGTCGTCAATGTCGCCATGGGTCGACAGACGCAGCTCGGACATGCGTCGCGCAAATTGCTGCGCGCGCGCGGTGTCACCGAGGCGCCGCTTGTTGAAGCGGAACGGCGCGGGGGGGCCCACAGTGTCGCCACCGCGCGTGGGGACGGTCATGTGTGCAGCGACCATGCGGTGGTCCTCGCGCGTAGTGATGGACAGCTGAAACTGCTCGGGGACGTGCACTTTGTGGACGGCCGGGAGGTCCACTAAAGGTCCGCACAAGTAATCTATCCGCGACGTGGGGCCCTTCCCAGAGCGCCAAGTATAGCCGACATTGAAGAAAGTGTTCAGGGCGGCCAGCTGGAGTTCCTGGAGCGTGGCGATAAGCGCAGCGCCGTTCTGGGAGATCTCCTCAGGGTCACACGGCCCCGTCGCGCCAGAGTGGTGTGGGCCAACACGTGCGTTGGCATCGATGCCCATGTAGATCTTGGCGGTGGGCGCGCGGCGTTGCAGGGAGGACATCGTGCTCAGCAGCGTGTCCCAGAATCCCTCGCGTTCAGTGGCTGGTGATGCCTCAGTGGGGGCGTGCGCGCTGACAAGGATCAGCGGCAACCCGCAAGCGTCGCGGCCTGTCAACCAGAACAGACGGGGGGGCACCGCTGCGTACGAGGAGACTTTGAAGCCCGACCGGGCGCGAATCCAGATCTGGCACCCGTGGCCGCCGTCGTCGTCGCCAGCCCCGACATACATGGTGTAGTGGAGGCCCGTGCGAACCTCTTCGACACGAGCGCGCCCTTCCTGCAGGAAGACGTAGTCGAGGTGAGCGTCAATGAAATACTGCTCGAGGATCTGGACCTTCCCAAGCATGAGCTGGAAAGCGACCTGGACGCCAGCAACGGATTCCTCTTGCGGTCGGAGGGTGCAGACGTTGCCGGTGGCAATGGTCTGCTCGGAGGCGGTGCGCGGAGCTCGGCGAGAACTGCGCATCGTGGTAGCCGCGGGAGGGCCATGAGAGCCAGCCAGCGGTGTGCGTGTAGCAGTGCACGTAACGGTCTGGACGCCTGTGGCGTCCGCCTGTGGACAGCCGCTCCGGGTCGCATTTCGCGCCGGAGGCGGGGCGGAAATAGGAGAGGTAAGCAGCCCCCCAAACCATGAACATGAAGGTGGTGTACTTGAAACGGTAGTTGGCGGCACGGCGCCAGGCACATTACAAGCGCAGACGGCGTCTAGGGCTCCTGACCTGGGCCATCCGCTGGCACAGGAAACCCCGCCGCCGACCCAGCAGCGCGGCGGCCTGCAGCGGAGCTGGCCGACGTGTCCTTGGTGATGGACTTCACGACCTTGCGCTTCGTGAAGTAATCGGTGATCAGCTCCTTGGGCTTCTGCTTGCCATGGTGCCGCGCCAGAGAACCGCCGGCAGGACCGCGCGCCGTCGTGGGCGTCGCAGCCGCAGTCGCCATCGTCTTCACGCTGTAGCCGGCAGGAGTGGGCTGGACCCCCGCGGCAGCAGCACGAGTGGCCGCGGCCTGGTTCAGCGTGGCCTGGAAGCCCTCGAAAAGCTGCTGGACGTGCTGCGTCGCTGCCTGGACGTGGCCAGGGTGGACGTGCTCGTCCTGCTTCAAGTGCTCGATCATCTGGTTCAGGATCTCGAATGCGTGGGACGCTGGGGCAGGCGCCTCCACCGCCATGGGAGGGGCAGCGGCCAGGGACGCCTCGAGCTCGCTCAGCTCGGCCTCCAAGGCGGTCACCTCGTCGGTGGACTGCTTGACCAAAAGCGTGGACGCCTTGAGGGCCTGCTCGGCCTCCTCGCGGCGAGCCCGCGCACGTCCCAGCGCAGCCCTCGTGCCGTCGATGCGGGCGCCGATCGGCTTGGAGCCCACGATCTGGCGCTTGTAGTCGTCGAGGCGCGTCGTGAGCGAGATGCGCTCGGAAGCCAACTCGGCATCGTCCTCGGGGATCGTAGCCAGAACATGCTCGAGCTGCTTGACGCGGGCCTGGAGCTGGGCTTTGGTCAGCACGTCGCCCTGGGAGTGGACGGGGTCCTTCGCCGGCGAGCGTTCCGCAGGCGAAGTAATAGTAGGTGACTCGTGGAGCTTGGTCAGCGTGTCCGTGATGGTGGACAGCTGCGCGCGCACTGGGTTCTGCTGGGATGCAGCCGTGGGAGGTGTAGAAGGTTTGGGGCCGTTCTTGACCACCTCGCCGTACGTGCGCTTGAGCCCGCATGTCTGGCACGCCTTCGGACTCGTGTTCACGTGGTGGCACTGGCTGCAGGTCCAGGAGCGCGCGGTCGAGGTCGACGACTGGTTCCTGGCAGAGCCGTGTGCTCCAATGTAGTGCCAGTGACCACTGGGGTCGCGCTTCCACTCTGAGGTAGAAGGCGACTGCGCCGGAGAAGAATAAGAAGAAGAGTGCCCGCGAGACGGCCGAGTCCATTGCGCCATCGGCCCAGCCCCAGCTGAGAGGATCACAATAAGATGGACGTTCGCAAAGTGGGCACTGTAGATCGGGATGTAGACTTACGATCAACTCAAGCTGGTGCAGCTTGAGCCGAGCCAAAATGGCTTGAGCCAAAATGGATACGGGTAACCTCAGGAAGGCATTAAGAACCCCCCCCCCCCCTTTTCCGGTGGATTATAACGCCCCCGCACCCTGGAGCGTTATGGCCGCACCGGAAGACCTGGCTGAGGGACTCGGGGCCTAGCTAAGGCCTGCCAAGCGCAGATTTGCTCCTGCCAAGCAGTTTAGCAGGGCCAAGCAGGGCTTAGCAAGGCTTAGCAGGGCATAGCAGGGCTTAGCAGGGCTTAGCAGGGCTTTGCAGGGCTTTGCAGGGCTTTGCAGGGCCAAGCATAGCTTAGCAGGGCGTAGCAGGGCTCAGCAGGGCGTAGCAGGGCTTAGCAGGGCTTAGGCGGCCGCCGATGGTGGATTTTGTTTTCTGTGTGCGGCGGGTGCTAAGTGTATCGTTCGGCTAAAACTGCCCGCCTGGAATATTGAGAAAACCGGGTGCTAAGAATAACCCAGAGGGAGTTTCTTAATGCCTTCTTGAGGTTATATCTATGTATATATATATATATATATATATATATATATATCGCGCCGTAAGGGCTTCGCCCCTTGCCGCCGGCCCCCTCTCTCGGAGAATGGGCAATGCAAGAGCGAAGTCATGAGGCCTTGGCGCCGCTGTGAAGCAGCGTCGGGACTTCACGCGAAGACGATGAGTAATCGGCAAGACAAATTGAGATTTGGATGATGTTGTTGAATTCGGTGTTGCATTTCGAGATTGCTCGCGTATGCTTCTTGTTTACGAAGTATTAAAACATGTTGCGAATCCCATCTGTTTTTTGACCCTGACCCCGGCGATCTGCGTGAGGGGGGCCACCGAATTTCAAGACACGTGGCAAATCCCGTATGTTTTTTGCCCTGACCCCGGCGATCTGCGTGAGGGGCGCCACCGGATTTCAAGACACGTGGCGAATCCCATTGGTTTTTCGACCCTGACCCCTGCGATCTGCGTGAGGGGTGCCGCCGAATTTCAGAAATGTGGCAAATCCCCTGGGTTTTCGACCCTGACTCCGCCGATCTGCGTGAGGGGTGCCGCCGAATTTCAGAAATGTGGCAAGTCCCATGGGTTTTTCGACCCTGACTCCGCCGATCTGCGTGAGGGGTGCCACAGAATTTCAGAGATGTGGCAAATCCCATGTGTTTTCGCACCCTGACCCCGGCGATCTGCGTGAGGGGTGTCAAATTCGACCCCTCCCCAGAAATTCTGAGAACCATCCCAGGAGACGCTAGGTTTGCTGGTATTCGGCTCCCCCCCCCTCGCGCGGTCTACAGCAAAGAACAGTAAGCAGCGCAAAGCAATATTGTAGCAGTGGAAACTGGTAACTGGAACTGGTGCAGGGAACAGCAAACCCTGGTCCTATAGCCTGGTGGCCCCATAATATATATATATATATATATATATATATATATATATATATGTGTGTATGTATGTATGTATGTATATATATACATATATACATATATATATGTGTGTATGTATATATATATATATATATATATATATATATATTTAAAAAAAAGAGGGAGCCAGCCGGTGGTGATTCGAGAGCCACACTCCGAAAACCACACGCTTTCCAGCCTTGCAGCTCAAGACGATTGTGCGCTGCGCTCAGGCGAAAATCAGCCGCCCTGCATCTCTGAAACTCCTGCAAACTCTGAACGCGGATGTGCTCGGCGGCAAGGCGAGAGCCACATCTCGAGCACCAGCGGCCCTCCACCCTTGAAGCTGTCGCCAGTTTCACGTTCCACGCGAGGACATCTCAGGCGAAACGACCGGCCCGCCGTACCGGCGCGTCTGGGGGTGCGACAAGGGGGGGATCATTTATAGAGGAAGGGGATCGAAGGGGAGCAAATAGAGGAGGAGAAGGCGGAGGAGGAGGAGCAGGAGGAGGAGGATCGGATGGGCCGTCCACGAACGAAGGGTCAAGTCCCTACTGCTGTACTTGACAGTCGGGGTGGAAACTTACAGAGACCAGTGGAAACTCAGGGTTCCAAACCCCGAGAACAGTTCCGAGACAGAGGCAGGAGAAAGCAATAGAGATCTAATTGCCAAATGAGCAGTTTCCTCCCCTCTACCTCACGCCGCCCCAAAGAAGCCGCCCTAGACAGCGACCTCACATGTGACGCGCGCAAAACGCATGTGCTCGGGCGGGTGAGGGCAGGAGAGGCGAGGCCAAGTGAGGAACCACATGAGCTTCCATGCAGCAGCTTGTGCGGACGATCGACGTTCGCCTAAATCATGAATTATCGGCGGGTCAGCCTCCGAACCTGACTCGGAGGCTAACTCGCCGATCATTCATGGAGACGAGAACTCCGGAGCGATCTGTAAGGAACAATCCCCCCGAGACGCGCCGCCGTCGTTGGAGGGATTTGGCGACACGCTGGCGCGAGCCGCGGAAGGTGCACTGCTGGAGCGCTTGGGGAGCGCCAGAGGGGGCACCTGGGAGCCCCCGGGAGCGCCTGCGAGGGCTCGGGGCCGCCTGCGGAGCGCCTGGGGCCGCTTGGGGGCGCTCGGGCGCTCCTGGACCATCGGGGGGCGCCGGGGGGGCGCCCGGGAGCGTCGGGGCCGCGGATCCCGTGGCTTGCACCCCGGATCGCGCGACCTCGGGGGCGCCGAGCAAATTCAGCGTATTCACATGGGGCAAGCCAGAATCCTTCTACTGGGCAGTCTGCTTCCCAACCATCCTGTGGTGTTGGGTCCTCGTTTTGAAGAGACAGTGCCCCGCGTCTCCTTCCTCCTCCCGCTGCCCACTCCCTTCTCCCACTCTTCCCTCCTCACCACCCCCATTTGGGCACACCCCTCTCATTTTTCGTGGCCCTGTAAGGAGCTCCACCGAGAGCCCTAGTGGCTGCGTTCGCATGCGGTTCCACCGCCATTTCGTCAAACCTCACACGTTTCGTGGCCCCATCGGGAGCTCCACCGAAGGCCCCTGTGGCTGCGGTCGCATGCGGTTCCACCCCCGTTTCGGTACACCCCTCACACGTTTCGTGGCACCCACAGGGAGCTCCACCGAAGGCCCCTGTGGCTGCGTTCGCATGCGGTCCCACCCCAATTTCGGCACGCCCCTCATACGTTCCGTGGCCCCGTAGGGAGCTCCATCGAAGGCCCCAGTGGCTGCGTTCGCATGCGGTTCCACCCCCATTTCGGCACACCTCTCGAACGTGTTGTGGCCCCCATAGGGAGGCCCATCGAAGGCTCCAGCAGCTGCGTTCGCATGCGGCTAGGGAGCTCCACCAAAGGAATTACCCCAGTGCGACCCTACCTAGAAGTTGGAGCCCCTAGGAAAGCAGCATTGGTTGCTATGCTATGCTATGCTATGCCATGCTATGCTGCGCTATGCTAAGCTATTATATGCTATGCTATGCTATGCTATGCTATACTGCGTTATGATATGCTACGCTATACTATGCTATGATATGCTAAACTATGCTATGTCATGTTGTGCTGTGCTAAGCTATGCTAAGATATGCTATGCTAAGCTGCTCTATGCTATGTTATGCTATGCTATGCTATGCAGCGCTGTGCTATGCTATGCTATGCTATGCTTGGCTATGTTAGGCTATGCTATGCTAATGCAACGCTGCTTTGCTTTGCTTTTGCGTTTGCTTTGCTTTGCTTTGCGTTGCTTGTGCTTTGCTTTGCTGCCGCTGCTGTTGTTTTGTCTTTGCTTTGCTGCTATGCTATGCTCTGCTATGCTATGCTATGCTGCGCTGTGCTATGCTGTGCTGTGCTGTGCTGCGCTATGCTATGCTATGCTAAGCTGAGCTGAGCTGAGCTGAGCTGGGCCATGCTATGATATGCTGTGCTGCGCTATGCGATGCTACGCTATGCTATGCTATGCTTTTGCTATGCTATGCTAAAGCTCAGCGAAGCTAAGATGAAGGCATGCTAAGCTAAGATAAACCTGATCTAAGATGACGCTAAGCTAAGCTAAGATGAAATGAGCTAAGCTAAGATGAGATAAGCAACGCTAAGCTAAGAGGACGTAACTGGGGGAACCGCGGGGCGGATGCTGGGGGAACCGCCCGGGGCGGGTTACACTGCCCGGCCCCTTTAAGAAAGAGAGTAAGAACCCTCTAGGCAGAGCCTAGGTAGGGAATTAATCACAACTCTGGTATTCACAACTGCATATGGTTGGGTCCTTCGCCAGGATAATTTGCTTCGAGTTTCGGAGCCTCCTTCTCAGCTCTCATCGGGGGGACTGCGTACTACCCAATTGTGGAATCACGCTCTGTGGCGTGACAGTGAGGCGCTCGTGTGAGTCGGAGTGAAGGGTTCACGAAGCGGTCCTCAACGCTGCCTAATATGAAGAAAGATCTTTTGCCACGCGCCGCTCGCCCTCTGGAGCTTGCAGGCATTGTTTCTGAGCTCGTGGTGCCGGCGGGCCTCGCGAGAGGCTCCCCGCGACCCCGTCTCGATTCAGAGAGGGAGTGCTAGGTCGGGCCTGTCCACCTACAGGGGGGATTTTGGAGGAAACATAAAACATAGTCAAACACAAATATTCCAAAAATGGAAAAAATCAAACATCGTCCCCAGACTATTTTTTGACTATTTTTGAGTACTCCTCCTGTAGAGGGCAGGCCCGACTTAAAGGGAGTGTCATGGCGCCAACCAACATCGCAGAGCGGACTCCGTTCGGAAAACAATAGGATGGGCCTGGAGTGTCATGAAGAATCTCGTTCCGGATTTCGAAGTGAGTGTCGTGCGGATTTTGTTTGGCCAGGAAGGAAGACGAAACACATTCCATGTGGAATTCATTTCGTTTTTCGCTCGCCGTTTCGGGGCTTCACTGACAGAAATCCACGCGTAAATCCGCTGCAGCACGTCTGCAAGGTCGGTGCAGTGAGGAGTGATCAACAGTGCTGCGCAGAAGGTGAGGACGGCGTGGCCAGCCATCCGAACCGCTCGGAGGCGGGCGAACTGACTCTCCGTAGTGCGTCCGGCACTCCGCTGAAAGCTCCGACCACTAGTCGCTCGCTGCCTGACCGTTGTCAGGACCGACGCTCGCTCTGGAGAGAGAGAGAGAGAGGATAGAGAAGAGAGTGGACAAGAGCAAGAGAGAGAGAGAGAGAGACAGACTGAGGGACAGAGGCGGAAACAGCGACGGAGACTGGCGGAAGGGTGAGGGCGCAGAAGGGGGAGGGGAGCGAAATGGCGGGGTAGGGTGGGGGGGCGAATGGGGGGCGGAGGGGGGGGGGGGGAAGGGAGTGCAGGGGCTTCAGGAGTGGGCCGTGCGGGAGGGCAGGGGGGGCGAGGGCGAGAAACCGTGCACCGCGCAGGGCCAGGGCAAGGGCGACCAGGGGCTGCCGCCGGCCGCCAACGGCGCGCAAGGCCCCGCCCCCCTGCAGCACGCGCGGCTCCTCCAATCTCCTGCTTTTTTTCTCGGTAGGCTGGGCGGGAAGGTCGGGTGGGGCCTCCTTGCAGCGGGTGCTCCTCCCCTTTGTAGAGGGGTTCTCCGAAGGGCTTAGGCGACCCGTCCGCCTCCTCCTCCTCCTCCTCCTCCTCATCTTCCTCCCTCTCCTCCCTCCTCCTCCTCCTCCTCCTCCTCCTCCTCCTCCCTCCTCCTCTCCTCCTCCTCCTCCTCCTCCTCCTCCTCCTCCATCCTCCTCCCTCCTCCTCCCTCCCTCCTCCTCCTCCTCCTCCTCCTCCTCCTCCCTCCTCCCCCCTCCTCCTCCTCCTCCTCCTCCTCCTCCCCTCCCCTCCTCCTCCTCCTCCTCCTCCTCCTCCTCCTCCTCCTCCTCGGGTCGCCAACGGCCCCAGGTGAAACCGTGCACCCCCTTGGAGGTAGGCCCCAGCCCCTCTTCGAGCTGGACCACCTGCTCGAGGCCTGGGTCTTGCCGGTGGCGCGACGGCCTGCGCCCCGCTCCTCCCTGCTTCTCGTATCTTGAAGTCGGGCCTGCCCCTCTACAGGGGATGATGTTTTGAATATTTTTGAGCATTTTGGGAGTATTTTTCTGCTATTTTCAAAATTTCGCCCCAAATCCGACTGTAGGGGGACATGCCCGACCTAATCGTATCTCCTTCTCTCCCCCATGATGCGCGCCGCAGGGCATCGGGGCCAAGTGTTCCATGGCCCCGCGCACCCCCCACGTCCCCCCGCCTTTCTCCTCTTTCTCGTGCTTATCTTTCCTCCTTCGTCTCCTCATTGTGTTGCTGATTATTTTTCTCATCATCGTTGTCCTTCTTTTCTCCTCCTGCTCCTCCTCTTGCTCCTCCTCCCCCTCCTCGTTCTCTGGCTTCTCTTGTTGCAGTTGCTCTTCCCTCGTCCTCCATCAATCTACCTCCGCCTCAACACATTCTTCCGTTTGCTCTCTTGCTCTCTTCTTTTTCGCCTTCATCAAGGGCCTGCCTCTATCTGACGCGCCGTTCATAGGCCTGTCGTGCCTGCTGCTGCCGTAGCCCGACGCCGGGCCGAAGACCGGCGGTTCGCGCGCAGTTCAATGTTATTCGAGTGAAGATGCGCGATGGCCATCGCAAAGACCTCGCGGGAACTTGTCGACGCCGATCTTGGCCATGGTCCATGTCGCCCCTCACCGAATCGCGAGGGTGTTCCACGAATGGACGACGACCAATGGTTGACGCGAGGACCTCTGCCAGTGCGTCAGCTTGCCCTCTCGTTCGGTCGTGTCCGATTAATTTTACCGCTAATTCTTCGCTCACGTTCGTGGCCTGTCTTTCCACGCTGCGTCCCCTCATGGGCATCACCGCATCACCCAGACATACGTAAGCTTATGTTCCCCAGCCTCCAGGGGCGACGCGCGCGTTCAGAAGTCTTAGGGTATATGCTCAGTGGCGGGCGCCTTCTGGCCATATCGCATGGCAACGATTTGCTGTAATATGCTGGTGCCCCATGCTGCTGGAATATCGCCTCGGCAACGATTTGCTGTAGTGAATATCAATCGCCGAGAAATTTCTCCTGGCCTGTCCGCATTGATTTTCCCACGCCCCGCCAGAAAAAAAAACCACGGGCAGCGCGCTGCGATGCCAGGAGCAGTTCGGACGGACAGGCCACAACGCCCGTACTTATCGTTATTGCGTTCTCATCAGGACGCTCCACTACAATACCGGCCATGGTTCGGCGTATTGGTGGCCAAACCGATGCAGGGCGTGCCGACATGACACAACAACCTGCGACCCAACATGACGTTAGGTACACCGCCCCGCATCGCACAAACGCTCTGCCAAGCCCACGGGCAATGCGATGCGATACCAGGAGCAGTTCAGAGTGCCAGTGGCTCTGTGGGCCATCGATTATCCCGTGCTTCTCTCGTAACCAAAAGATGAAGAGACGGTTTTTGTCTCTTCGGGCCCCTGTGATTTTTACAGACGACTCGTGATCAGAATTCGATCCCAAGGGAGGGGTGCAGATCTCTGGGGTCCACGTTTGAGACTCACGGCGTCGCGCATCTGGGTGTAGTCCAGTGGTCAAGTGTACGGCTTTTACGAGTGTGCCAAATTTCGCCGACGCAACCTTGTGGATTTATGTGTGCCATGCACTCGTGTTTCCAGCTTTTCGGGGACCTGCTTTAATTGTGCCAGAGGTATCGCACAACCATGCTTACATCAAATCGCAAGAGCAGTGGGCAGAGCCTGGGAGTGATGATGAGGAGTTGCTGATCACGGGGAAGAAGGGGTGATGATGGTGAGGAGGAGGAGGAATACTAGGAATAGGAAGAGGAGGATGATGACGATTTAAGATGATGACGATGAAGATGACGATAGGTGGAGTTGTAAGATGACGATGACGATGATGATACTGATGATGATGATGCTGCTGATGCTGATGATGACGATGATGATGCTGATGCTGGTGGTGGTGGTGGTGATGGTGATGACGACGACGACGTCGATGACGATGACGATGATGACGGGGGTGATGACGATGACTCTGATTAGGGTGATGAGCATGGTAATGCCGATGATGATGATGACGATACTGATGCGGATGCTGATGATGCTGCTGATGATGATGATGCTGCTGAGCATGGTGATCATGAAAACGCTGATGCTGATAATGCTGATGATGACGCTGATGTTGCTGTTGCTGATGCTGATGATGATGATGCTGTTTCTCATCATGGCGATGGTGTTGAGATGGCGATGACGAAACGAGTGGTGCTGATGCAGATGAGGATGCTGATGAGGATACTTTGGTTACTGATTACCAGTATGGACATGCTTCTGATAATACTGTCGCAGATGATGGCGATCACGACGATAATGATCATGGTGCTGATGATGATGCTAACGATGCTGATGCTGATGCAGATGCGGATGCTGATGATGATGCTGCTGCTGATGATGATGATGATGGCGACGATGACGATGATGTTGACGATGCTGATGACGATGATGATGCTGATGCTGTCAATGACGCTGATTGTCATGATGATGCGGGCGCCGATGCTGCTGATGCTGTCGCTGATGCTGGTGCTGATGTTGTTGATGATCATTCAGATGATGGCATTCTGTCTCATGTTGATGCTCATGCTGATGATGATAGTGATGCTGATGTTGTTGATGATGACACGGCTGCTGCTGCTGATGGTGGTGGCGGTGATGATGACGTGATATTCTTGTTGGCGATGATGCTCATGCTGATGCTGATCCTGATGCGGATGCTGGTGCTGATACTGATGATGATGCTTCTGCTGCTGCTGCTGATGATGATGATGATGATGATGCTGATGATGATGATGAAGCTAATGAGGTGGATGATGCTGATTATGATGACGATGACGATGCTGTTAATCATGATGATGATGCTGATGATGATGCGGCTGCTGATGACGATGATGATGCTGATGGTTATGAGGATGCTGATGCCGATGTTGCTGTTGCTGATGCTGATGCTGATGCTGATGCTGATTCTGATGCTGATTCTGATGCTGATGCTTAGGAGGATCGAGGAGGAGGAGGAGGACCAGGAGGAGGAGGAAGGGAAGTATGACGATGATGATGATGCTGATGATGATGATGCTGCTGAGGATGAGGTTGAGGATGATAATGATGATGATGATGATGCTGATGATGATGATGATGACGATGATGACGATGATGATGATGATGATGATGATGATGGTGGTGGTGGTGATGATGATGATGATGATGCTGATGATGATGATGATGATGCTGATGATGATGATGATGATGATGATGATGATGATGCTGATGATGATGATGACGATGATGACGATGATGATGATGATGATGATGGTGATGATGATGATGATGATGATGATGATGATGATGCTGATGATGATGATGATGATGCTGATGATGATGATGATGATGATGATGATGATGATGATGATGATGATGATGATGATGATGATGATGATGATGATGATGATGATGATGATGATGATGATGATGATGATGATGATGATGATGATGATGATGATGATGATGATGATGATGATGATGATGATGATGATGATGATGATGATGATGATGATGATGATGATGATGATGATGATGATGATGATGATGAGGAGGAGGAGGAGGAGGAGGAGAAGGAGGAGGACCATATTATACCCAAGTCGCATCAACGGTTTTAAAGTAAACCCTCCCCTCAGGCTCCCTCTTCACAGGCCCCGACTAGTGTTCATTTCCACTGAAGGCAGTGCCTCGTTTGGAGACATCCGTTTGAAGATCCAGAAACGTACCAACACAGCATCCTCGGGACTGCAACGCCACGAATGAACCTGACATTTGTTTCTTGACGATCCTGAATCGTA